TACCTGCTCACTCAGGGCTTCCCAGCACACCCACGGGAATAACAACCCACTCCATGGAACAGCTTGTACTTCCTGACCACAGCAAACCACCAGTGCATGCAGGACCCTTCCCCAGGCTCACCCAGAGGGAGCTGCAGCAAAGGTTTGGTTTTTTTTTTTCCATTTTAACACACTATAAGAATCGTCAGCCCAGCCCAAGAGCCTGCCCAGTCCCACGCATGACGGGCAAGGGTAGCCAGGAGGGGCTACTATCAGCAAGATAAGCAGCAAGCTGTGATCAGAGTGCCCCTTCCCCAGGATGTCCTCTCACTACAGCTGATTAGGGACCTTCTAAGTAGGAAGCTACAGCCAGATCATTTCACCGTCAGTGCTGGCAGTTTTCTCCAAGACTCTGTCCATTCCCTTCTAGAGCCTTTTAAAGCACTTCACAGCACTGACTTTGGCGTCACAGTTAAGACTCGAGGAAAAAAAAAAAGTCAGCCTCATTTTTCACAACCTGGTAACTTGATCATCATCTGTAGATATACTTAAATTATTCATAACAAAATACTCAGTAAAGAGAAGTAAAAAATCAAGCCCATAAGCAGCAGGCAGCTGCCTCAAAAACAAATGCTCCACAGTCTGATTTTTGGTTGCCCTGGTTGTGCTTCTGCACATGTGCATCAGTATCAGCTGGAAAAGCATCCACCATAGACTGGACCTGCATTGTCCTTTCAAACCTCTCAGTGCTTCTACTGTCTCCTCCTTCCTACCTTATAGCCCCATAGTGCCCTACACTTATGTTAACCCCATGCGTTCTGCACCTCCACACATCCCTTTTGCTCTCTATGCTTCCCCAAATCTACTTGCCTTGGAGGAATACTCACCTGACTGGAAGGAAATCTCGCTCATCATCATCCAGGTGTCTGCAAAGTAGAAGCGGCAAAGTATGGCTTTACCCACACGCTGGTTGAGGGGGACAGTCACAAACCTAGCGCTGGGGTTTTTGTCATCTAAGACAGTTGCCACTCCGACAGGTTCAGGCTCCCAGTCTGCAATCAGGCGTGGTTTGAACAGACACTCCACCTTCTGGAAGATCTTCACCCCCTTGGAAAACATGTTGTTACAATGCACCTGGGAAGAAGAGAACAGATCAGTCAGACGGGAGCAGGATTTACTGAAACCTAAGTCAAGCCTCAGGGATTTTCTGTTCATGAAGAGTTTCTATTTCTAGTATCTCCCTGTAGGAATACTCCCAACCCAGAACGAGGGGCTTGTTCCAATGTAGCTTCATCCACTCGTAGCGTGCAATGAGAACATTTGTGCAAAAAGACATTCTGAAGTAACTCTTTACAGGCAAAAGCTACATTAATGGTCAAATTTTGGCAGGCTCTTCAAAAGGCCCATATAAAAACCCTATACTAATCTAAAGCCTCATAAGCCTATTCTCCTTGAACATACACCCTAAGAGGGGAAGAAAAAATCACTCCTGGGCTCTAGCCTCTTTTAGAAAGCCTTCAGAATCTGCAGTCTAAGCTAATTTAAAAAAAAAAAAAAAAAAGAGTCTGAAAATGAGCTGAAGAAGATATCCCCCTGACATACAGCAGCTCTTCTGCTGTGGTTGCTCCCTGAAGACAACTGAGGATCTAAGTTTTCTTTACACCACCACGTAAGCCTGCATCCACCAACCTCTCCTGATGGCTCAGGGCATCATCAGGTTGTCCCTGCTGCAACGGCACCTCTGGTGTAGCTAACGACGCCGGAATTTAAGTGCAATCACCAGTCACTATGCTGCCAAGCTAACATCTCACTACAACAACGGCATCATCTCTCACCTCTGAGTTAGGGCTCTACATAGTCCACTTCAGACGAAGCGGTGTGAAAACTGCTTTCAGGCTGACTTCACACCTCTGTATTTGGGAGGTTGGTTTCACCCTCCCAAGAGCTGGTAGCAACTTTCTCCCTCCTGCTCTTGGGTTGCACCCAAACCAAGAGGCTCCAGGATAAAAGCGATACCTCCATCTCCCTGAGTTGGGCACTGCAGACCCATCAACACCAGACACCTGGCACCCTCCCAGGCCTCCAGCACTTCCAAGGAAACGGGCTTCGCAAAGAGGGACAAGGCTTGGGAGGATCCTTCACGCTGTTCCACTGTGTCTTCAACGCCAATCTCGCCCTGCACCTTTTTAAACAAACTAACATGATGGTTTAAATTCTGCCACGCAGTTCTGAAGATCTGGACCACAGTATTTTGGCACTGTGGCCAGTGACTAGGAACCAGAAGGAATAAGGTGACAAAGTCTTCAGTATCCCTCAGTCTACTCCGTTTTCATAGCCACAGTGGTCCGACCCTCCCTAGTGACTCTACAAATTATTTCCTAATGACGCTGGAGTATTAACAACCGGGACAACAGCAGTTTCCAAACTAAGTGCAGCTTTGAGCCCTATTAATTGCTTGGCCTCTGTGAGGTCTTGCAGTGAATAGCAGCAAAGCAGTAATGAGGACAACAGGCCTGATGAGCAGTAAAAAGACAAAAGAAGGGTATTTGCATGTAATTAGGAACAGATGAAGCTTAGACAACACTATTCAATCAGGAGGAATAGCCATCCATAACAAGGCAGGAGAGCCTGACGCCTGCAATATACCATTTGGGCCATATTTGGACAGGAGTTGGATATGTTTGCATCTTGGACTGATACAGAGACACGTTCTATTCCAGACACCGCCTACTAATGTCCAATTTTATAGCATGCAAGCCTAAGTAATTTGCAATGCAGTTGCAATATTTGCTAACATTTATTTTTAATACTTCTTGGATACTGGGGATGCTCAGAAAACCGGAATAAAGCTAACAGGTATGAAGATACAAAAAAGTATTTACAGATCACCTAGCCTGCACAAAATAAATGCAAAGCTGAAACAGGCACCATTCAATAAAGAATGAAGAATAATTTATGCTAATCAATACAGCTTTATAATGAAATACTGACTGAAGTAGCTATTTTATGAGCTTATGTGTTTGATGAGGATGGCTGTGTTCACATGACAGATTTTTATAAGGGGTTTGATTTACTCATTTTAACATCAGACTCCAATTATCATAGTATGAACTCATGAATTATATTAATTTGCTTAAAAATTGTCAACTAGTAAGTCTTAAAATTTTAGGCACAAATTCTTCTGTAGGTGTTTTTCTAGCAGCAGG